CTATGCATATATGTTGGTTTTAACATGTGGACAATTTCTTTAAAATATAGTAACCTATTTAGAAAACAGGCTAACAAATGTGACCTTCATAGTACAATAATAATTCAGTATCTTTTGGACTGTATTGCAGAAACTAAGGTTGCACTAATTGGAATTGATTTAATTACAGTTTTCTATATCCATTGACTTCAAAGCAGCCAGTGTAGGCACAGAGCACTGCCACAGACAATTGCTTTGTTCATTTGGATTCTGTTTCACAGAAAATAGGCTTTGTAAAAACTAACTGGACAGTGCAGCTTTTATTTAACATTTCAATTGGGATAAAATGGGATTCATTCCTGTGTATTACTGAAGTATTTCACCGAAGACGTGTTTAACCAGGGACTACTATGTTCAAGTCATTTTTACCAGTTGAGCGCAATGGTCTTTTGGATTCGCTCATTCACCCAATGATTTGCCAATTGTTCAGCTTAATTTACACTGACGTACCCGTACATATATCAATTCCCCATAGCAATAGATGATATTCGGCATGAGTTCTATACAAGGTTGTCAGAAGTGTTCAGGGAAAAAAGATTTGTGGCACAGCCCTAATTAGATAAAAACTGCAATTGAACGAACGCATTTGAAAGTTTATATATACTGTTAAGTGCTGTCGTACAGTACATTAAAAATTACAGTGGCAGAACAAATATAGATATTGGATATTGTCCTGAGCTATTATGCACAACTTGCATACATAATCATGATTCTGTAGGTCATCTTGGTCAGTTAGTGTATTTTGAACTGTATGCTTTAAATTATTAAATATCTTCTGGAAACTGGATGGTTAACTAGTTTAGTCCATGTGTTTAAATGTAAATTCAATGCATTGATTTAAAAAAACGCATTTGCGAAAGAAGAACTTAGCAAATTTAGGACAGATTATTCATAGAATAGAAGTATTACTGTACTGTATTAAAAGCATAAGTTGTTTTGTGCTTCCCAATTAAAAATTGAAGAACATTATTTGAGCTGTACAGAATTGTACAACAGTGTTTTCCTTTTAATTGCATTGCAGCAGGACTGAAACAGATTGTTATTCATTGCACAAGTCAAATCCACAAGCAGGGTAAGGAAAATAATGCTGTTTTCCCATGTTTTCTTATGTTACTGCAAAGCAGCATTACATGGAAGACATTTCTGTTCCGGCTGTGTATGAAAATATGGGGATAATTGGAGAAAATGTGTGTGATCAACGCAACATATTTTAAAATGGCATAACTTAAAATGACAGACATAAAATATGCATGCATCAGATGTTGAGAACATGGTAGTTCGATTTTTTTTACCATGCTCAAGTCAAAATGATTCAAATCTAGAGATTTGTATGAAGATAGATAAATTGTTCACAAACAAACCTTGTTAGGTAGAACTGCTTGTCAATTACATGAGATGCATCGACAAAATGGAACAAATTGGTGTTTTGTGCAGCAGTTCAATGTTGAAGTACAATCTGCACGTTTAACTATAGTTGATTCTCTCAGTAAACTATTGCCCTCAAAGTGCTGCAGTGCCCGAAGCCAGTGGCCGAGCATATTGCACAGACAAGGTCATGTATACCTCAAAGCAGTACGTTTAATCAGTGTTAGGCTGAACACTAAAATTGGTGTTAGATTTTTTTGTCCTTCAACTACATTTATTTTTAAAATGGAAATGATTTGTTTTCTCTTCCCCTTTCTCTCCCCCATCTACCACATTCTACTCTGCAATTGTGTGCTATCCAAGGGTGCAAATCTCTACAAGTGAACAGCAAAATAAGCAAACAATTCAGCAAATAGCTCAGTATGTGAATATTGTAAAATAATAATTCTTGCATTTGATATGGCGCCTTATCACGTCTTCAAGTCGTCCCATAAAGCGCTTCATAGAATATACTGTAAAGTGAATTGATTGTATATTTTGTGGGCATAATCTTTCCTGCGCCGCCATCCTCCGCTTTCTTGTGCTACTTTCCAGCTGAGAGCCTGGTGACCTTGAATGATCTTTACCAGTGTTTTTCAGAAAAGAAACCAGAAGCCTTTGATGTCTCGAGCAGGTTGATGCCTGTAGTTTCTCGTGGCTTGTGTGCACGTAAACGTAAACTCTGTTATGGTGTGCCCAAAATTAAAGCTTACTGTATACAGAATGGTATATTTCTGTACAAAGATCTTACCATGACGTTCTGCTGCAGTTTTCCTGTTCTTGAGTGTTTTTGATGGGTAGAATTTAATTTCAGCCCAATTCAGTCTCCCAACAGAGGATTCCTTTACATTGTAGGGCTGATACTGGTAAAGATTATTCAACGATATTACTACATAATAGCAGTTTTGTTGATCTGCTTCTCATTGGCCATGAATCACAATCGATGAATGAACGAAGCTTTATATCCTGAACTGTTGGATGGGGGTGTCTGTGAGGATGTACTTGTGATTAGAGGATGATTAATGCAAGCGAGAGCAATTAAGCTGGAGCATATTTTTGACCTCTAAGAAAGATTATCCGACAACACAGTCCTGAATTTTGTTGACAATGCTCAAGTTTAGGTTTGGTGAGAACTTGAGGTACAGTGTGAAGTTTCTCTTTAATTTATATTTTAAAAAAATGTTGCATGCTTTCATTCCTGGCCATGGTAGAGTTTAAATTGATGTTTTCCTAATGGCTGTGTTTTGTGCCTTCTTTTTTGCAGTCCTTTTTTAATGATGGGGCAACTACTGGCTTCTTAAACTAGCATTACTGCCATATTAGCTTTGTTTGGAGTTTTGTTAAAGCATTTCTTGCAAGTTACATGTGGTATTTTATACTCAGTCTTACATTGTGAAAATAAAGTTGAATACTCTTGTAAATCTATCAGACAATTAGAAAACTTAACACATAAAATAAATTTTCTGCATAGTGTGAAACTTTGATGCAACCTATAGGAATCAGAAAGTTGGTGGGAGGAAGGAATATCGTCTCAAGGCTTACATTTCTATTGGGGCCAAGGGATTTTGGTCAGGCTGAGGGTGAGCGGATGTTTGTTTAGAAGTAAATTCTTGAAAACAATTAAATTGTTTTTTTCTAAACAGACATTGTCATTCTGAATCTTAAGATGAAATGAAAGGTCGGAGCAGGAGAATTTCTTTAGCTTCTGTTACGTAGAAATCTGTAGATATTTCCAAAGCGCGTTGAATTTTTGTTAACTTTTTTTATAAAAAAGTTTGTTGTTACTTTTTAAACAATGAATGAACAATTTCCCCACATGGTATAAATTCAGCTGATGTATTGCATCTTCGTAATGTGATAGAATACATACAGTATTGAATGTATGAAACCAGAATGTTCTGTCCAAAGCATTTTTAAGTTTAAACTTCTTCCGACTGCAATTATTGTATGATTGAGGCTGTTTACATTTAGAAATAAGTTGTAGTAATGAGGGGTCTGACATTTGTCTCCCATTTCTTTTGTTGCAATGCGGTCTCCACAGTAAATTACATACTATAAATTTAAAATGTAAATTATTCAGGTAACTGGAATGAATACAGCTGTCAATATGGAGTTTAAAACAAATCCTTTTGTGACATTGTATTCGTGCCTGGTGGTGTAAACTGGGCTCAGTGTTCAAACTGTGTGGGTGGAATAACTAAGGTGCCCTACTTTTATATTGCAGATTAATTTTGCTTTCTCCACAGTTAGTTTCAACTCCCTGTACAGATCAGATGCTGCATGTGCAAGCAATTTTGCGAGGGAAGGGAATGTGGTGGGTGAAGAGTCCCATGCTGCAGGCTAAACATATGCAGTAGATGCGGTGGCTGTTTATATTGCTCTCCTCTTAATCAATTCCAGCCTAAAGCTTATTTCAGAAGTGGTTGTATCTGAATTTAAGGCCAATTTGGAGTGGGATTTGAGAAGTTTATGCTGTCGGACAGATATTGGCTTTCAGGATTGATCAAAACCCTGACTGGCTATCAGGTTTGGGGCTTCCATGATAAATAGAATCTAATTCTATTTTAAAATTTCAATTATTGTAGGTGGTATACTGAAGAATGACTGATTAATTTAAAATTGGGTTTAATTAAAACTATGTGTTCCCTTGCATTGCTGTATTTTTTTCCAAAATAAGTTCTCCCTCTTCCAGATCAATATTCCCTGTCACAGAATTCAGGCAGGTTCACTGCTCACTGTACTGATACAATCTTACAGCACAGAAGGAGGCCATTCAGCCCATCATGCCTGTGACAGGGCTTTGAAAGATCTAACCAACTAGTCCCACTCCCCCGCTCTCACCCCATAACTCTGCAAATTTTTTTTCAAGTACCTATCCAATTCACTTTTGAATCATGGATGCTTTCTTAACTATTCATGTAACTGCAAGCTGTGAGACTTTGTGGTCCACGGGTGAAATCTATATATTCTACAACTATTGAACAGCGATTTGGAAGCCCAGTGCACTGTTTCTCCCAGTATACTCATATGTTTAAACCTATGCATATTTAAACAAGAAGCCATGCATTAGCACATGTTATCCACAAGTATATAGAGTTCTGTTTTTGCTTGTCTCTTCTTAACAAAAGCATACTTTTTTTAAAAATAACTTTTGTGGGGACTCTTAAATGTTGTTACACTCGACTCATCTGCAACAGAAAATAAAAAAAATCATTGTAAGAAGAAAAAACAGGGGGTAACAGGACTTTGTGAACACCCTGTAGAGCATACACTGCAGTTATTCTAGACACAACTGGAGAAAAGGAGTGATAGTAAAGTAATTGTAGTTGGTATAAACCTTTCTGGTATTGAAGCCCACCATTTCAACAAAATTGCAGGTGCGTGTGAAAAGTTTCACTTTAATGACCTGATTTTCGATGCTTTGACACAAACTACAGAAATACTTTCATAGACATGTTGCATTTTGCAAGGCTGAAGGAAATGAATTCCAATGAGCTATAAAGACTGCAGGAACTTGGTATTTCTTTTTGACACTTGTTTTCTTTTTTCTTCTGCAGTCATAATGAGCGGAAAGTAACCTGCAAACATCCGGTGACAGGACTTACATCACAGGAAAACTGCATATTTGTCATGAATGAAGAGTAAGTCTTTACTGTTTGCATGTTTGCTCTGTCATGTTTTTACACACTCTGTACCCCTAGAAAAAGCTGATGTGGTGTTTTAAATGTTGAATATGCCAACAATAAGTTTAGCACTTGAATTTCATCACTTGATTATGTTTCCAAATTGTGCGGTGGAGTAATTTTCAGTGCGAGTTTTTCAAAAGAATACTTGACTATTAATCTTTGTACCACAAAAGAACCACACAAAAGCAGCAACGAAGTTGATTATTTATGCAGAGCATTCCAATCATTTAGCCAGATAAAAATAACTACATCCAGATGTTCATCAACTTGGCCTATTCCAATTTCTCTAATCGATCAGCCATCCTTTGTTTAAAAAGTTCATGCAAAGTACATTGGGAACCTCTTGGAGGAAATGATGTGGTGAGCCAAATTCTCATCTAATCAATTAGGAAACAGAATTAAAGTATTTACATTAATTCCAGTTGACTGCAGCATGTTGTGCTAAAGTGCCCGACAACTAAATTAACCCATCTGTTGTAGCAGGTTTATGTTGGATGGTGAGGAGGAAACTCGGCCATTACTGAGTCTGTTGCACACAGTAGCAACAAATTGTGCAAAATTCACCTGTTCAAATCATGTTAGCCGTATGTGTGATACTTGTGTGGTCCAGAAATGAGAAAATTGTTTAGGTGCAAATTATCTTATTGAAGTAATCCGATGGCTTATCTTGTTTCTCAGCCAACAGTCTTATTTTCCTAATAGATTGCAATCAAAACTTGTTTGTGGAAATAACCCTTCAAACTGCATTTGTTGAGTACTATATCCAAAAGGGAATTATTGTCATTTGTGGGAAGGGGGTGTTGGTACGAGAGGCAGAGAGTGAGGCGCTGCTGGTGCCCAGGTTCATTTCAAGGTCTTGTTCTCAACTTCCATTTAACCTTGGTCTCTTATTATTGTCTTTTTTAAAAAAAAGTTGCACTGACTTTCATGTATGCTTCCCAATGACTATTTCCAAAATGCCTAGGTAAGGCTGATTTTCAAAAGTGCAAAGGTTGCTTCGAGAATGTTTAAACGTGATGAATCTAGCCACAGAGGCAGTCTGTATAGAGAAGAACACCTCTCTCCAGGTAACTAACTGTCAGCAAGGAGGATTCAGAAATGATGTCCTTGTAATCTTGGAGAAAGCGTGGGAATTCTCCCAAGGCTCTGCTGTTGAACCAGTCATTATAAATTTGCAAGCTCTACATAACCACTGAACACTAGAAGTAAGAGAAGAGCGGTTTGAAGTATCTGGTTACCATTTAGGCATATTTTATATTGCGGCTTTTGACACTATCCAGACCCGTTTCCTCAGGCTTAGCAACAGTTTTAATTATGATCAACACATGCCTGTTCCACGTAAATTTTATCCAGTAAATCTAGTAGCATTCTGTTCATGTTAAGAGTGTGCTGTGGGTAATTTTTNCTCCCAAGTATCAAATTGCTATGAGTTGCTTTTAACAGGCTGGGAGATGTATATGAATGTTATCTATACAAATGGTCTTACGTTTGTTGCACATGGAACAGAACTGATAGAGGAGTAGGTTGCATCAATAAAAGCTCTTCAGTTTCTATGGAAATTGCAAAGCTTACCAGCCCAGAGATATTGTTTGACTCAGCCTCTCAATATCTGTCTCGAGTCTAGCAAATCCTGGAGGGGGTGGTGGGTGTGGGTCTTGCCTGGAGGCCTTGCCTGGAGGCAGAACTACCTTTCTCCCAAACAAATAGGTTGGCAATTGAGGAACCCTCTCCCAGAAGCTTCCAAAACAAGCTCCTGTGATAAGATTCTTTCACAGCAAATGGCTGACTTTAAGATGCCAGAGCATCGAGCTTGATCTAGGAGATGCTATGTACCTAAAGTAATTTACACAGTGGTACTGACTGATTCACATCAAGCTTTATGCTCACTACAAATAAAATGTGTATTTTCAGACGAGGGGAAAGAATATTGATGTCTGAGGTTTGCAAAGAAAACTAGATTTGAGCATTCCAGTATCTGCTTACATTTTCATTATTACATTACCTCTCAGATCCATATTGCAGAATAATTCAGTACTAACCAGGAATTTATGAGTTTGTCCACTCTTGTTTCCTGGTTCTAAATCATTGTTTCACACCAACAATTGACCTATAAGCACTTTGAGACATTGGAGTCCTGTAGCTCAGTGGTTAGAGCATTCGCCTCACAAGTGAGAGACTTAAGTTCGATTTGCAGTAAGACAAAATGTTGTGCAACTTTCCTTACTCCACATGCCTCTGTTTACCCAGCAGTAAGTAGAAACCCGGTTGTTAGTCGACTGGCGGATCGCCTTTCTGGGGGTAATAATTCCCTTTTAAAAAAAATAATAAATTGGTCACTTCATTGCACGACTGTTTGTGGGACACTGCTGTGCGCAATTGGCTGCCATGCTTTGGCCACAAATAATCATCCAATTCACTTGACAGTATATTCTGTGAAGCGCTTTGAGACGTCTTGAAGACGTGATAAGGCGTTATATCAAATGCAAGGATTATTATTATTATCCTCCCAATGTGAAAGTATCAAATGTAATATTATTAATGCTGCTCTAATTTCCTAAATGTGTAACAAACATTTTTAATGAAGTTGCAAATACTGGATTCAGTGAATATTGTTTGAAAGGAATTGGTCACATTAGTGTACTATGGTAAGTTTTTCTGTGTTTGGGATTGAGGTATACTGATGTAGCAAATGGAGCTTTTACTCTCTATCCAACTATACTGTACCTGATTTATAAATGCTTCACATTGATATGAGTTTCTCAAAATGGGAATGCTTTTTTCTGTGTTCAAATGTCCCTCATTCCTGACCACACGAATTCCCAGAGCATAATTATAGCTTCATTTCAGGGAATATGGCTGCAATTATTCTTCACTCCCTCCCACATCCAGTAATTATGATTTCATATCTATAACTACCACTAGCCAGTTATCTTTGAATACTGTGCGATGCAGTAATGCATTCCACTTGTAATGTTCAAGTGAAATAAGTCTCAGTACTGAGGCTCAGTCTGCATTTATTTCAACCCACAAAGACCAAGATGCCTAAATGATGATTGAATTCTAAGATGCAGTTTTTTTTAAGAAAACCTCAAAGAACGTTTTGCTTGTGACTGTGAGCCTTGCTAGCAGTTTGGTAATAAACCAACATTCAGTTTCAGCCACGTTGACTTTCCGTAAACATTTACTGCACGATCGATCACACTTTCTAAAAGGTAGGATTTCAATTGTGTAAATTGTAAACACATTAATGCAAAATGTATTTGAGTTGTGAAGTCATTTCTTACATGGAAAAAATTTTCAACTGCACATTTTTTGAATTATCTGATGTAATGCGCATTGTAGTTCAGATTTGCATGATAGGGTTTTTTTTTATTGATGTCAACTTTTTTTGATTATGAGGGCTCATGTCTGTTTTGATTCAAGGTCATATTGTTAGATGTGACTTAATGATGTGCAGTTTAATTGAAACTGTACCTCTTCTTTTCCCTAAAATGTACGGTGATTTATAGCTGAAAACTAGAATTCTAATGCCTTGTAAAGCTAAAGCAAATTCGCTTTAGTTCTGTGTTTTTGATGATCGAACTTGGTGTGGTTGAGGAGTAGACTTATTGAATTTAGTTTGAAGAATAAAAGCAAATTGAACTTATATTACTACCGTTTGCATGTTTTTTTTTTAACCTGATTAGAAATGTTCTGAAATCACTTAAAATTGATTTGCAAGTTATTGGCAAGATGTGCAAATGTACTATTGTCTGCACTAAATCAGTTTTAAAGTTAATCGCTGAATGAGTATGTACAATTGCAATGGACAAATTATCAAGCTTCAATCCAAATATTGTAGATGTCAGACATACTTAGGAATGTATCTGGTTTGGATACTGTTAAGTATGATGATGGGTTTCGGCACCCGGCGGACCAAAAAAAAGTCTTCAATTTATAAATAACCTTAAATGCCTAAGGATTATGACCATGTTTCCATGTCATTATGTAGTTTCTGTAGTTCTAGATTGGAATTCTCTGTATTGTTCACTGTAGGATTTGGACCACGAGTTCATTATTTGTTTTGTTACATACAGTATATGCTCACAACTATTCTCTACGCTTGTGGCAGTTAATGACCATATGAAGCTTATAATGCATCTGAGGAAGGATGAGCAGTATTTGTGGACCATTAAATCATTACAAATGCTCTCTGGGTTATCTAACCTTCTTTCTAACTTAATTATTAAGAAAAATTTCTGGTTTTATTGAGTGCAAAGTCTTGGAAATATTTTGAGCTGTCGAAACAATTTCTGCACTGGCTCAAATAGCCTCGAATATAGCGTATTCTTGATCATGAGGAAATATGGGGAGGGAAGGAAAATAACAAATGTTTTGAAGCCATAAAGTGACCAATGTAATTTCCTTTTAGAGTTATAAAATCTGATCTTGCACAAATTTGAATAACATCCAGTGCAATGGGGTTGTTAGAAAGTATATTGTTTTACTAGTTGTAACAAAACTCTTACATGGCATATACATGACATATATAGTGCTGACTACATTTCTTAATTCTTTGGCAGTGAAAAATTAGATTCAGGGACTCTTGGGTGCTGTGGTTGGAAACCCTTAAACAGACCTGTCCTATGTTCATTAAACTTAAAATTTTCCATGATATCAAAGTTCTCATACATTTGTAGATGGCCTGCCAAAAGTGAGCTCATACAATCTAGTGTTTTAGAGTTCAATTTTTTTCAGTTCTTTAAAAACAAAGTATTTGCTGGTTTTGTGGTTTATGGTTTTAGTCACCAAAAAAGAAGCTGAAAATAAATCCTCAGAGGTGCCCTCGTGTCTAGCCCTATTTCGTAAAGACATAAGGGGGAAAAATGGACTTAATTGAGGTACTTTTGGGATCTTTATTGACCATGGGAAAAATACACACATCATAAAATAAATCTGTTCTGGAAATTACGCGT